ATATCAAAAATCAAGACGACATTCAAGTCGTCCTGCATACTGTCATTTTTCGTGGGACACCCTGTATGTCCGATCATAACGCAGAAACCCCGTAACCGATTTTTGAATGGTGAATTTGGAAGAACTATTGAGATGGTGAAATGTTTAAAGATTGTAAATTCAGTGGGAAAATAAGCTGGGTTTCTCAGCTAGTTTATTTTTATTATATTCTCAAACGATTGATTTCATTTCAGGGTTAAGCCTATCTAAAAGTTATCAACCCCTATTACAAAGGAACGTACGTATGTAGACCATAGAGAAATGAGAAACAAAGGATTAAAGTTTGTCTTATGATGAGTTAGTTATATAAATCTCTTTACAATCTTTAGTACATTTTCATTAATAGTTTACAGCATAGAGAAATTAAGAACAAAGAGTAAAATCTATAAGCTTTAACTCCTTATTCTTCATTTCTCTATGATGTAAACTATATATATATCATGCACTTAAGGGTTGAAGTTGACCCATGTGAACCTATAGCTGTGTGCGCGCCTGTTCTGCCGCGAAACAGACAATTATATAAATTAATTAATCTTGTGACACCATAGATGGCGGGGTGTGTGTGAACTGATCCTTGTGCAATTTTCATATATCTTCGGGGGCGTTTAATGATTTTTCGGAGCCGGATGTGTGTGAGATGTTTGAATGTGTGTGTGTGCGGGGAGTTGAGGTTTCCCTTTGTGGATTACCGCCAACCTATCCTTCTGGCGGCAAATTCAACGCATATATTCAATTGTTTGAAAATATTTAATTGATAAACAATGATAAAAAGACACGATACATTACAAAACATTTGAGAAACATAATTGATTAAATGAACCCAGCTTGAGCTGCAACATGAGAACTGAGAACGTATCGGTGTAATAATAATTCCCTTATCTTATGTTTTCCTAAAATAATTTGTAAAAAAACCCAACAGTTGAGAAAAGTGATCATTAGACTGGTATAGACAGAAATATCTCAAGAGACAAATTGTTTTTTGATAAGATTTTAAACTCATGTTTCTAGATGTTTTAAAAACGTGTTTTTTAAAGGCTTTAAACTTTAGGTTTTAGAGATTCTTAATGAGTTCCTTGATGAGTTGAAACTAGAGTTTCTAGATGAGTTGAAACTAGAGTTTCTAGATGAGTGGAAACTAGAGTTTGTATAGAGATGAGTTAAAAAATTAAAACTAGTGTTTAATTTTAGATGAGTTGAAACTAATGTTTCTAGATGGGTTGAAACTGGAGTTTTTAAATGAGTTGAAACTAGAGTTTTTAAATGAGTTGAAACTACATATTCTAGATGAGTGGAAACTTGAGTTTCTAGATAATCAGCTTATATAGAATATGTAGTTTCAACTCATCTAAAAACTCTAGTTTTAACTCATCTAAAAACTCAAGTTTCTAGAGGAGTTGAAACTAAATATTCTAGAAGAGTGGAAACTAGAGTTTCTAGATGAGTTGCATCTAATGTTTCTAGATAAATTGAAACTAGTGTTTCTTTATGAGTTAAAACTAGAGTTTCCAGATGAGTTGAAACTAGAGTTTCTATATAAGTTGAAAGTAGAGTTTCTAGATGTGTTGAAATTAGAGTTTTTAGATAATTTGAAACTAGAGTTTCTAAATAAGTTGAAACTAGAGTTTCTAGATGAGTGGAAAAGAGAGTTTCTAGACGAGTGGAAACTAGAGTTTCTAGATGAGTTGAAAGTAAAGTTTCTAGATATTTGGAATCTAGAGTTTCTAGATGAGTTGAAGCTAAAGTTTCTAGAAAAGTGAAATCTAGAATTTTTAAATGAGTTGAAACTAGAATTTCTAAATGAGTGGAAACTAGAGTTTCTAGATGAGTATAAACTAGAGTTTCTAGATTAATTAAAACTAGAGTTTCTAGATGAGTTGAAGCTAGGGTTTCTAGATGAGTTGAAACTAGAATTTCTAGATTAGTTGAAACTAGAGTTAGAGTTTCTAGATCAGTTGAAACTAGAGTTTATAGATGAGTTAAAGCTAGTGTTTCTAAATGAGTTGAAACTAGAGTGTCTAGATAAGTGGAAACTAGAGTTTCTAGATGAAACTAGAGTTTCTACATGAATTGTAACTAATTTTCTAGATGAGCGGAAACAAGAGTTTATAGATGAGTTGAAACAACAGTTTCTAGATGAGTTGAAACTATAGTCTTTCTAGATGAATTGAAATAACTGTTTCTAGATGAGATAAAACTAGAGTTTCTAGATGAGTTGAAACTAGGCTTTCTATATGAGTTGAAACTAGAGTTTTAGATGAGTTAGACTAGAGTTTCTTGATGAGTTGAAACTAGATTTTCTAGATTAGTTGTGTAAACAATTGTTTCTCGTTGAGATATGAATTATGTTTGTATGTATGTATGTTTGTATATACGTGGTTTAAAAACTTATGTTCCAAAATCTCATCCCCCTCGGTTTAGTAGTTTCAGATCTTTATTTCGTAACTGTTGATATTTAGTCGATATGTCTGAAAATGTATATATATATTTATATTTATATTGATATATATATATATATATATTATATATCTACACTAATACATCGATCTAGTGAAATTCATTGATCCAACAATTCCCCCAGTTTAGTTCATATTTGACTTATTCATGCGACAATACATATAGTTATATACTTCCTAGTTTAACCTTGGTTTTACCAGTTCAAGGAACTGTCGTTTTAATTCCAAGTAATTTCATGTTAGGAAGACAAGTTCCGATTCACAGCGGTACCCTTTAATCCGTTAACTTATTAGTAATGTGGATTTAATATCTTAAAAGGAATTGAGTTTTTGCCAAAAACTAAAATTTTCTGATTCCAATATCTTTGCAATCTTAAGGTTCAAACCATTCATTTTTCAAACTTAGACTATTTTATCTACAAGTATTAATTGTTTTTTAATATCAAAGGTTTATGACATTGGGTTACAAAGATATAGAGATTAGAAAATCAGAGTTTGTGGCAAAAACTCAAATCCTTTGTCGAGTTTGTCACTTAGATGCTAGAGAAACTGTATTGGTAACCGTATGTGATTAAATCAAGAATATTTCTGTCCTTTTTCTTTAGAAAATATTCAAGGGTTAGCGTTGTGAATCTGACATACCACTCTAAACATGAAGGGTCACTTAAAAAATTACATCTCTAGTTCCTTTCAGAAAGTTTTTAAGTTCTTGCATTTTTATACTTCGACATCGTTTTGATAATTTGATTTTTTCCTGTTTTAAGTTAGACTTAGGTTATGATTTTGACATAAAACATGCCAATATGCTACTGTGACAGAGCGCACAGACAAATTTCAATTAATAAGCTATACTGCAGTAAACTTAATTGCTTTGTAACAACATCAAATACACATAAGATTGCTAAATATCGTCTTCATGTTGCAGGGTTTTTTGAGTTCAACTGTATATTTCTATATTGATAATATGTGTCTATAAATCTATTGATTCAAAGTTTAATAATATTCATATAGGGAGGATATTGGAGTATATTGGGTGTAGAGTAATATTCACAAGCTGGGACCTACACACACATTCATTCATTATGTTCACAGACAAAAACAGTAAAAAGGCGAGATTTTTTACATTTAGAACCAGACATCTAGACAGTTAGACAGTTAGATATGTAGTAAATGCCGTACTCCTTAAAGTTCGTAACCATGCTACGTATTTATTTGAAACGCAGTTCAAATGAATAATGGGTTTTTACGTAGAAGTTAAAACTGTTAGACTGTTTAAGACAGTTAGAACGTTTGATAGTCAGACAGTAAGGTGGTCAGAAAATTAGACAATTAGACAGTTAGACAGCCAGACAGTTCAACAGGTAGACATTTAGAAAGTAAGACAATAGACGGTTAACATTAGACAGTTAAACATGCAATTAGACTTGAAATAATCAGACAGATCAAAAACTAGTTCAGATTTAAAAACTAGACAAAAATTTAGTAAACATAAAAACAAAAACTGAATGTAAAAACAATTTTTAAACAATAAAGGATGATGGTGAAGTACCGAACATAAAATCATTGTTGAAACTAAAGAAAAAGTACGATGCTCCATCAGATAGTGATCTCCCAAAATCCTACAGGTTGTATATTAATCCTACAGGTATATATTAATCCTACAGATATATATTAATCCTACAGGTATATATTAATCCTACAGGTATATATTAATCATACAGGTATTTATTAATCATACAGGTATATATTAATCCTACAGGTATATATTAATCCTACAGGTACATAAAAATCCTACAGGCATATCTGAATTATTCGTCCAAAATGTAAATATTAGTTAGTTTTAATCCTATTATAGCTTCTATGGGTTTTCAATTATCCTACAAGTAATCCTTAATCCTACAGCGGTAATTATCAATCTTGAAGGTAATCCTTAATCCTACAGAGGTAATAATCAAAATCCTTGATGTAATCCTTAATCCTACATTGGATTTATTAATCCTGAAGGTAATCCCTAATCCTACAAAGGATTGATTAATTCTTCATAGAATTTATTAATTCTAATGGTAATCCTTAATCCTACAAAGCTGTGATTCTCAAAATTCTGAAGGAAATCCTGAAACTACAACGGTAATTAGCAATCCTGAAGGAAATTCCTAATCATACAGAGATTTATTATTCCTGAATGAACCCTTAATCCTACAAGTAATCCTTAAACCTTACAAAAAGTTACGAACCCTAAAAATAATTTCTAACCCTACAAATTTATCTTAATCCTAAAAGTGATCATTAATCCTAAAGTTTATTCTTTAATTCTCCATTATCTCCATTCCTGAGGCTTCGCAATAGATTAAAATGAGGGTCTTTTATATTTATGCATATATGTTGGAAAGTTCCTGGAGCTTTAAAATTTAATATTTTACTCAATGTTTAATATTTTACTCAATGTTTAATATTTTACTCAATGTTTAATATTTTACTCAATGTTTAATATTTTACTCAATGTTTAATATTTTACTNATCCCAACTCAACCCCACTCCTCCTTACTCCCAGGTAGTTTCATCATCCTTCTTACAGAGCTAACTACAAAGGATCATACTTTTCTGACGACCTAAGCAAGACTTCTAGTCTAGCATTTTTTTAAACGAAGAAAAAAGCTTTCGTTTTTCGCTTCGTTTTTTATTTTTAAATAAAGGAACCTTCGTTTTTTGAAAAGAACAAAGGGTTAAAAATAACTGTTAGTTTTGAACTTTAGACTGAACGAAAAATGAAACGACAACATGTTAGTTTTGTTTAAAAAAAATTTTATTTTAAAAAATTTCTAGAAATGAATGTGACGTAGAGAAACTTATTTGTACGTTTATTCAGCCAACTGTCCTACCTTACTCAGACCTTAGTCAGGTTAGTCGGTTTAAGTACTTACTCAGACCTTAGTCAGGTTAGTCCGTTTAATTACTTACTCAGACCTTAGTCAGGTTAGTCGGTTCGATTACTTACTCAGACCTTAGTCACGTTAGTCGGTTCAAGTACTTACTCAAACCTTAGTCAGGTTAGTCGGTTCAAGTACTTACTCAGACTTTAGTCTGTTTAGTCGGTTCAAGTATTTACTCAGACCTTAGCCAGATTAGTCGGTTCAAACTAATATTTAAAAGAAAACTTTGATTAAAGTAAAATTTTTCTTGTTGAAAACCAATTATTTTCTAAGGCACAATCTAAAAGGCTTCAATTCGCTAACTCTACAATTTCATAAACTAAATTATTTACTATCAGGTTGATAAATGTGCAAAGTTTTTAGCGGATTTTGTCTACTACACTTCAGAGAAGGTAAACAATGCCAATTTACGTAATTAATTGATATATTTTGTAAACATTTATTTAAGAAATTTAAGTTTTATATAATTTCAGTAATTTTCTCTTCAAAACTTTTATTGTAGGCTGTGGATGGTCCAGTAAATTCTCCTCATAGGTAATTTAAATATTTAATTTTTAATGAATAGGTTTTTTAAAGATTTATTAGATAAATAATATCATATTATAATATGATTAACATTCTCATTAAAATAAGAATATAATTGAATATTGAACCTTCTAAGAACTTGACTTCCATTAAACTTTAAAGTGCTCCAAGATCAAGTTGGGAATGGTTCAGAGCACTGTTTGTAAATAGTTTTATACGTCGTCTTCCATACACTGTATCAGCTATTAAAGGCTGTTTATTTCGTTTAAAAAATCTTTTGCTTAAATCTATTTTATTTTGAAGTTAATTTTACCATAATATGACTCCTATATAATATTTTTATTATTGTCATGGTATCAAACAACTTAACAAATTATGGAAGAAGACATTCTAAAATATTTACCAACTGTCATGTTTCATGTTATCATTTGGTAAGTAAAACACAGATTGTTTTCTATTTTATTGTTGTACAATTTTCTGTTAGATTTAAAATATAATATGTTTCGAGTGCTCCAAGAATAAGCAGGGAATAGTATAGAAAGGTGTACACACTACACATATATTCTTAAAATAAGCATAGAACATTTTCTATTGTTTAGCAAGATTGGTTATTGCTGGACACTGTGTTTCATGTTTGACATTCATTTGCGGATTTCATATTATTTTTCCGCGCATTTTCAAAATTTTATAAAAATAAAAAACTTTTAAACACAAATTTTTAAAATTTTGATCGTTCGTAAACCTTCCTTGGGGTCACATGAGGTCCCACACAAGGAAATTGAGTCTTTGTCACAAACTCTGATTTTCTAATTCCTATATCTTTGCAGTCCAATGTTGCAGACATTTGCCATTTCAAACTATGACTTCTGTTAGGTTAAATAATATATGTTTGAAATATCAAAGGTTTAGAACATAGGGTTCAAAAGATATAGGGATTAAAAAATCAGAATTTGTGGCAAGGACTTAACTCCTTTGGGACCGATCGGTTCAGCCGTTTTTGACGTTTTTTGGATACAAACAAAAAAAGAAACAGACAGAGAGACAAGCTAAATTTATATACAAATTTAGAGTGCTCCCAGACCAAGCTGGGAATATGTTCATATATATTTAGAGTACTCCAAGAGCAACCTGGAAATATGTTCATATATATTTATAGTGCCCCAAGAGCAACCTGGAAATATGTTCATGTATATTTAGAGTGCTCCAAGAGCAAGCTGGGAATATGTTTATATATATTTAGAGTGCTCCAAGAGCAACCTGGGAATATGTTTATATATATTTAGAGTGCTCCAAGAGCAACCTGGGAATATGTTTATATATATTTAGAGTG